AGGGGGGGGGCAGCGGGTGTGGGGAGGCACTTTTCCTCTGCCCGGCAGCTCTGCAGGACCCCAGTCGGAGCCGGCCCGAGGAGGAGGAGGATCCTAGGACCCAGGTGAGCGAGCCCCGGGAATGCTGCTGCGCATGTGCGGGAGTTGCCTCACCCCGTTCGTATCTAGGGATCCGACGTAAGTCGGATCCACGTAAGTCAGGGACTGCCTATACTGTCAATTAGTGCCTATTCATGACAAAAGGGGAAAATGTGAAGAAACTGTTAGTCAACTTTTAAAATAAAAGTTTATGCAAATTACTTGTAAAAAGTCACATACCTTGAAGACATAGAGCTGCTAGTTCTACAGCAGTATCATATGGACATTTCAGTCTTTAAAGAGACAAAATAAACAATAAAAATATGATTTTTTTAAGTTTACATTTTATATAAACCCTGTCTCCAGAAGAAACTAAAAGAGTTTTCTAACAGTTTCAACTAATATGAATTATTAATTCCAAAGTACCAGTTAAATTGCACCATATTTAGATAATTCAAATACTAATATTTTGATTTAATTAAGCTTAGTTACAAGTTAGCACACTGAGCTATTTCTGAGTTTAGTAATTTCTCATTAATGGTGAAAATGTGATATGCCCAAATATAACTCATTCTTAAACCAATACTGAAAACATTAATCCAAATGAAAAAATAGGTGATAGTCCCACAACGGAGTCTAGAAAAACTTCCTGCCTAAGATTGAATATTTTTCTTTACAACTTTTAAACAAATACATAAATAATATATGCACACACTCCACAAATACACAATTACATTTGCCAAAAAAGAGGCTGCAAAAAAGAATATATTTTCCACAAGTCTCTTAAGTAAGAAACGTTGACATTATTATAGTGTTTTTTCAATTTCCTTGCATCTGTCATACTGACAAGTATGAAAAGCTCACTTTACATTTTAAATAATCATATCGATTAAGACATTCTTTCCCCTAATTGCACACAGAACATAATTATTTTCCCATTTGAATGTGCTACTTGTTCTATTGTGTAATAAATAATAAACTTCTGGTTCAGACTGAAACCTTCTAATGTCCTCACAAAAACCAAAACCCACAACATTTACAGTAGTTTAGCTACTTATTAACCAAATCTTTTTCATGGTATTCTATGACTGAAGAAAGGAGCAATTTTAAGAGGATTATGTCCTTTGTGTAAGAATTATTTCTCCAAACCAAATGAAGTATGAGGTTTCTCTTCCGGAACTTGCTATTTGCAAATGAAAACAATGTATACTTACTCTCTCTCTCTCTCTCTTTTAAACATACAGAACAGAATGTCCAGTTTCATTCACCACTACATACTATTCAAATTAAGAGTTCTCAGGGTTTCTCAGTTTCTTTTAAGGGGTTTATTTTGACTCATTTCTCAGTTCAATTTGAAATCTGTTACTGACATATATGTAAGAACAGGATGCATAGGGTCATCAGTATGAATGAGTGTAATTTATTTTTAATATTAACAATGGCTAATTACAGCATAAAGCTCATTTACAATGAAATCCGTAACTTGTAAATAGTCATTAAAGATAATGAAACTGTTAAAACTCGGTATAAAATTTATGCATATACATGTTTATATTGCTTGGTCACAAACGAAAAAATTCTTGCTCCATAAGAGTTTATTAATTTGATTTTTATTAATGTATCTAGATACATTTCTGTATCTAATAGAGAAAGAAAAACATATGCAAGAGAACATTGGATCAGTAAATGCATTTTACAATTCCTTATATATATATTTTTTGATGAACAACAGAAAGGATCAGAAAGAGCTTATGGGCTTAAAGTAATACTTTTAACTCTTAAAACAGTACTCTGTTACTTACACTTTAAGCAAGGTTACAGCGTCAAAAATGTACTTACTTTCCTGAAAGAATGTCTTGTCGGAGCTGTAATACAAACAGGTACCTAACAAACACATCAAATAAACAAACAAACAAATAAATAAATACAAGTAAACAATCAAATGCATCTTTTTGGCCCTTATCCCTTTGTCAAGAGAATACTATCAGCCCAGACATTTCCATAAACTAATTTTGTAAGTGATATGAGCTTTGAGGGTCAATTATAAAGAGAACTGCACACACCTGTGAGATGTGAAGTACCCTTAACTTTCACTGTTAACTTTCACAGTGAGAGGTCAGAACATCCTCCATTGGAGTGGAGTGCTCAGCATATTGTTGCAGCATGAAGTCATCAAGCTGAATTTCAGAAACCCATCTTTATTTAAGGCAGCACTGAAAGCATGTAAACGACTTTGAGCACGTGCCTTAATTCTGCCAAAGCCAATGGGACAAAAGCCCACACTTAAGTGCTGTCCTGACTGGTAGTCTAAATGAATTATATAGAGTCTAAAGGCAATTATGGCTTTACTTTAAAAAAATTAAAAGAGCTCTGAATGAGAACAAAGATTCCATGAAGAGTTGAGCCTGAAACTAAATAAGCAGGCCTATTCTGGTACTAACATGGCCTTCAGTGCTGTGGTATCAACGGGCATGTATATATTTACAATGCAAGCCATGCTTGAGCCCACCATCAAGGATAACCTCCTTTTGAGTATACACTGAAACTGTGCTAACCTAGGACTCAAACCCAGGATCACATTGTTGGGACCCAGGATCCAAGCCCCTTCACTCTGCAGCATAGCCATAGCCCTGCTTAACTCAATTCACAGGCAGAGGCAAGGCATCGGGGAGGTGTGAGGGAAACACGCGATCTCCCTTGCCCACTGATTTGCTGCTTGGCATCTACTGAGCTTACTCAGTATCACTGCTGAAGCTGGCTGCCTTCACTCTGCTTCCCTCCCTTCCCCCCACTGCCCGCAGGCCAGGCCCTCGCTATTATCAAGAGTCAGTTGGAGGTAGCTCATAATTCAGACCAACCCATTCTCTTCCAGGCACAGACCTGTAAGCACACTATCAGCATCCTGGGTTTGTACTGTAGAGTGAGCTGATCCCTTCCTGATAATGTGACGAGAGTGCAGTAAAGTTTCTCTACAATGAACCATGGTTGTTGGGCTAAAGGGGCCACATTTGGGGGGCGGGTGCTAGGGACTCTGGGATATGGTTTTGACCCAGGTCTGCATACTGCAATCTGGATGGCAGAGCCTTCAAGCTCAGGTCAAAAAAATTCTTAACCTACCACTGAAATACAAGGTATATGCTTAAGGTTCAGAGTTCACAAACACTAGTCAGTTCACTCGAGTCCCACTAACCCTGGGCTTACTTGCAATATAGATATACACTACCTACCTCACAATCTTTAATTAAAAAAAAAACACCTCCCTAAGTCAGGGGACCCCCATTTTACATATGAAGATGTGAGGCACAGAGTGACCAAGTGAATGCCCAAGGCTACACAGAGAGTCTGTGACAGAGCAGGTAACTGAAACTGAATCAGTGCAGGTAACCAGATGAATGCCCTATCTACTTGCCACTCTTTCACAGGTGGTGGATTAGTTTGTTTTATTTATTTTTTTAAACAAAAATTTGTGGGAAAAAAATCACAAGCACCTTGCTGCCTGAGGCCTTTCCTTCCCCATTACACAACAGGCTAGTAGTGCATCTGGTGGAGGTGCTCTATGATGATGGGAGAGAGCTCTTCTGGTAGCATAACAAAATCACCTCCATGAGAAGTGGTAGCTATGTTGACAGGAGAAACTCTCTCATTGACATAGCACCATCTACATCAGCGCTTAGGTCAGGGTAGCTTATATCGCTCGGGGGTGGCATAAGTGACATAAGTTATGCCAACGTAAGTGGTATTGTAGACTAAGGCCAAGTGGCTCCAGTCTCAACTCTTCTGGAACAGTGTGTCCCTCTTTGAGGTTGGGGGATGGCTGAGGCTGTCCCCCCAGCTGCTCCTACCCCCAACACTTCTGGAGAAGTGAATTGAGAGGTGAAACTGATGATATAAGTGAATGAAACAAGAAAGACATCTAGGCTGAAAGCATCGTCTCTCCACTCTTCAAAAAGAAAAGCGTAGCAAACATCTCTATTCATTTCTGTACTGGCACTGAGGGACGTGTGGGAAACAGAACAGGAAGGATCAGGCAACATGAGTCACCAGCACCTTGTGGCTAAAACTAATTTTTCACACTCGTGTGTTTGGTAGATTGTAAACTGACCTTTCAATATCTGGTAGATTGAATCAGTTCAAAATAGACAGGGTAACAGGAACCAAAGGCATGTTTAGTAAGATTTTCTGTGCCCTATGTTGTAGAAAAATTCATGGCAAAAGAGTAAGAGTAAGAGTAAGATTTTTCAAATTTAGGACTGATTTACACACCCCTAACTTAAATACATAGATGATACCTGGGTAGCAACTTACACATCAGTGCTGTAGATATAAAATTAGTTGTGCACCACCCCAGAAATCGTGGCTTAGAAAATCCATCCTTACTACTTGTTCCAGGATTTCAAAATAATATGAATTTGGGACAAATAATCCAGGCAATACTTCCACTTTGCTAGTCTGTGGAATACTGCAACTCTCTACATTTGATTCACTGTTATTTCCTTTTTCTGCGCAAGTCTACTATTACATCTCAGCTTGTGGTATCCCACTTCAAGCAGCATAATGTACTCTTCAGAAAAAACAACCCAGTTTATTCTGAGGAAAACGAATGAAACCCTGTAGACAAAAATGCCAGCAGATGCCTTCCTCAGTGCATTAAAATTTAATGCAAAGAAATGTCATCAGTTCCCCACAAATGTGTTAACTTTTTATTATTATTACAGTCTCAAAATACATTTGAATCTGTTAAAAATATTTTTTTTACGGGCATTTGCACTGAATTTGCACCGGCTGTCCTGGTCTCTTACCTACCTCTACAGAATTCTGGGAAATTCAACTTAATCAGAGTAGAGGGTCATTTAAAAATATAGATTGATAAAGGGAATTACATTTTAAAAATGGCCTTCTTTACGGTTTTAAAAAATAATGTGCACATAAACAATATGAAGACTATATTCAAATTGGTTTTCTATTTGTTTTCATCCCTACTCTCCGTTAAGATGCATGTTTCCTAGCTGATAACTAAAGTATTACAATTAAGGCCCGTAAAAACAAAATGTAGAAAATTAAACCAATATTTTTCTAAGCAGAAGTAGCCATTACAGTATATTAAAGACTCCTCTGCAATTTTCCTTTTTAGCATTGATTAGATTATATATCTCCAGCAATTTATAGTCCAAACTATAGTGTTATGAAGTTTGTTGTTCTTTATAAGAAACTGCCTTACTAGATCACATCAAAGATCCATTTAACCCAGTGTCCTTTCTCTGAAAATGACTAGCATCAGATGCTATTAAAGAACATAAAAGAAATCCTGTGATAGACATTGGAATAACCTGCCCAGGAGAAATTCAACAGCAGCTAGGCTTAAACCCCAATGCATGAGGGTGTGTATCTATTCTAACTTTTTTAATATATCAATTTACATAATGTAACTATGAATTTTCTCATTATACATGCAGATGTCTAATCCTACTGAACTCTTGGACTCAATTAGATCAGTGGCAGTAAGGGCCATAGGTTAATTATGGACTATATGAAAAACTATGTCTGTTTATTAGTTTACTGTTACTGCAATCATTGATAATGTATAGTATGGCTTCTATGTCAGTTTCATATTAAATTAGTGGGTGATTACAATTAGCTTATTAATCTTCTTGTCTCCCCGCAGTCAAATAGTACTTAATCACTGCAGCAGATAAGGAAATAGGTAAACAGAGGTCTGCTGACTAAAATTTCCTATAAATATTATAAAATTATCAATATATTCTTTAAAGAGTGTGGTGGAAACAGCCTGATTAGCAATGTAGAGGAATTTTTTTAAAAACACAAGAAGCTCCAACTTGTGAGAAACAGAAAAATGATAGTAGGAAGGGACACAGAATAAATAATCAGAGAGACTATTTGGCCTGACCTAGTGACAAGAAGAGTTGGAAGAATGGGAAGAGCAAAATTATCCACCCCCCTCCCAGTTTTCATTATAGAGAATTTGCTCTGAACTGTGGAGGGCTCCTCACTTAAACAGGGAATGTTTTCAAAAGGCAAAGATCACTCAATACAATGATGACCAGAAGTACCTATAGGATGAATTGTCACCAACCAGATTCCATTAGCAGAGGAAACAAAAAGGGAGAGGGAGGAGGGCAGAGAAGGTGTTTGCCCATTGGCCCTTCTGGATCTTTCTTTGACACACTCTGTTTCATTTTGATCGTCTCCACATTTCACAGCAAAGAAGAGCACAGGGTCCAGCAGTTGGCATTATAGGATGGAAATTCCCCTGCACCCCCTTTCTCCCAGTATGGGTTTGGCAGGCAATACTGCTGCAGAAAGTACTTCTTCTCTAGGGTCAGCTCCTACCCATCCAGCCATGGCTCCCTTTGCAAAGTCACAAAGCCTCAAACACATGGAGAGCTGGAGGGAAATATCATTGATCTGCCTGTCCATCCAAAAGCCTACGAGAGGCCAAAGCAGCAGGTTTCGGGGGGGGGGGGGGGAGGGGGAGGGAAAGCAGTAACAGCCCTTAGACTGTCAAAATACCAACAAAAAGATTGAACACAATCCAAGCAAGAGTACATATAACCCAAACTCCTCCCTCCCCCACAGTTTAACCCCCAAATGCCGTAGACACCACATTGTCAGACATCAGTTTAGCAATTCACAATTGTTTCCTACCTTGTAAACTCCTCGTGAAGGTTATTCGGTTCTGATGAGTAATATTTAATTCGAAAATGCAAAGTGTACGGAGGTCCAACTGCATACACAAAGATTCAAAACAGAAGTTTACACAGGTTTGGTGATCCCATTGTGGCAGAGCAAGAAAAATTTAACACAAAATAATTATATTTTAAGTCTACTCATCACAGGGACATTTGACTATGTGTCTTAAATTAAAACTTTTTGCAAGAAACAATTATGCACCTGTTGTGGGCATTTTAGTGTGCTACCACTACCAGTATATACAGTAAAGAAGTCATGGCTCCTTTGTCAAGTAAGTGTGTGTTCAAAAATATGCACCTTGCAGTATACTGGGAATGTCACAAAAATAATAATTCAAAATCTGATGGATCTGACAGAGTAGCCTCGCTACTGATGCAGAAGTTCTCAGGCTAAAAACGTTCAGCAAATTTGTCTTTGCAGATTTGGGCTACCATCCTGGTGTATGGCTGGGGAGGAGAGAGTAGACCATAGCAAACAGAATGCAAATCACACAGGGCTTTATTATTGAGAACTATCACCTTGAACTGTGCCTAGAAACAGACAGAAAGCCAGTGCAGGTTTTGAAGTATAGTCATAAGGTTAATCAACTTAAAGGCCCAATGGAACAATTAGTCATCACTCTGACCTTCTGCACATCACAGACAAAACAATTCCACCCAGCTGTCCCTAGAAGTCCAATAACTTATGCCTGGTGAAAGTATATCTTCCAGAAAGGCATTTATTTAGTCTTGCTCTGAAGACACTGAAAAATGGATAATCCACCACTTCTCTATTTAGGTGCTTATATGATAGCAAATTACCACTGGACTTTCTGAATGCCTATTGATCACCCATTCTACTAGGTAGTTGGGAAGCCAAAAGCTGCACTAGTTAAAGCTTTAAAGTTGTCATCAAAGGTAACCCCTAGAAGCTATGTTTGAAAAGTTAAAACTGTAGGTGACAACATTTACTGGTGAGATCTACATCCTCAAGGCACAGACACTTAACACCAACCACTGCAGGTGGAAAAATAAAGACCTAAAATTGCCCAAAGACAATTGAGGACCCCAAATGCAAACCAATTTGGCCAGGAAAGCACATATTGTGCTGAGAGATGGAACTATGGAAACACTCTTCAAGTTGCTTCCCCAGTTCCTTCTCTAGTATGGGTCTGAGCCAGCTTGTTCTCATGAAGTCCCCTATCTGGGCCAGACACCATGAAAGCAGTGAAACAACATCTGTTAAAAATGCCTTTCTGCAGAAAATATTTGAGTCTTCCCTCTGGGATCATTTTGCCTTTTCCTTGGCATATCAGAGAATAAGCACTTGCTCATCATATATATCCAATGACAGAAAAGCAGGCAGAGATGTCACAAAAAGGCAAAGAAGAGTCAAGCATCAGAGCTATCAGTGGCAATAGGCCCTAAATTTCTTCACAATGTAACTTGTTAGTCTCATCCACACATTAAGGGTACGTCTAGACTACATGCCTCTGTCATCAGAGGCATGTAGATTAGGCTACCAAGCATAGGAAAATGAAACCTCATCCCAGGAGGCATACCTGGGTGGTCAACAAATGCCTTTGATGTCGACACCCGCGCGTCCAGACTACCGCGCCGAGCCGACAAACAGCTGATCGGCTCAGCGTGGCAGCCATGTAAATTTAACTGAAGCGGCGATTATTTAAATCGCCGCTTCATTTTCCTATGCCTAGTAGCCTCATCTACATGCCTCTGGCGACAGAGGCATGTAGTCTAGACGTACCCTAAGTGGTAAGAATGAAAACATAGTGCCCCGCGCGCCTTGCATAAAAGGGTCACTAGAAGAAAGTGAGCAGCTCTAGTACTTTGAGAGTCCTCAGAATGGAAAGAACAGCGCACTGAAGAAAAACTGTGTCCACTCCTTTCAGATCCTGAAAATTGATCGGTAACATCTTGTGATCAGCCATGTCTCAGGTAGTAGTTAGATCTCATAAAATAAATATGGATACCTGGTCTAATTCCATTGCTAGCAGGCATTTATTGTTCAAGGATACTATTGCTGTCTCCATGTCTACCCAGGCCTGACACCTGACTGATTGGGATCCAGGAAATTGGAGAAGCCAGATAAACACAGATACTTCAAGGGACAATTTACTAAGCCCAGATTGAATCCGAGTTTCAGAGTGGTTGGTATCTTTAGCCTGTCCCAAGGGAAAGAATGAGCAATCTCTGTCAGTAATGGTCTCAGGTAGGGATGTAAGTGATTAGCAGACTAGCTGATAAGCGTATGCTTATTGGACAGTTGACTAGTGACTCAACTAGTTGCTTCCCCCCACCCTTGCTGCCTCTATCAGAGAAAGCCAGCAAGCGGGGGGAGCAGGACCTGGAGCTGTCAGGAGCTTGCTGGCAGGAGCGGGCTTAAAAGCCAGTTCCTCCCCCAGAACCATCTCCACAGCAGGGCGGGGTGGCAGAGGCGTAGCAGGAGAGCAGGTGTGAGCCGGGTATCAGCTGATGCCTGGCTCGTGCCCAGTTCCCCCCGCTGTGCTTTTGCTTTTAAAATGTATTAAGAGCTGCCAGCATTCCCTCAACTAGTTGATTAGCTGATTAAATGCCATTTAATCAGTCCCTAATCTCAGGACTTCCCTTCTTGGCATCCACCTGCCACCAAGGGCACAAGTCCTGCTCACAGGAACCCAGACATATTCAGAAACTACGCACATTAAACCAAGTGAAAGTGCAGCATACCAGAGAAGATGCAAGGGAGTCAGGCCATGAAACTAAAAGGTGTTTTGCATCTTCCAACAGGAATTGCTAACCTTCAGTTCCCTTCTGCCACCATTTCAGCCCATTTAATTTAGGGGTTACAGAAAGGGAGACTGCTTCCATAGTCTCTCCTCCCTGCCCTCAATTACTATAAACAGGCATGTAGGAGAAATCAAATAAGCTTTTCCAAGCTGATATTTGACTACTGAATCTATTTGCTAAGCTAAGCTCCCCAGCCCTGGTTTATGACAACTTAATTCCAGGCAGAGATTTTTCCTTTAACAAGAAGAAGGACTTCTGGAATCCACAAAAGTGGTAAATTAAAAAAACAAATTTAAAGAAGAGAGTTCAAGATTGGTCCATTATTTATTGTGGCCCACGCTTTTACACAAAAAGTTTTAGCCAGCCGGCCCTTAAATTGAATCCATTATCTAAGAAATATTCACCCTATTACGGAAACATTTAGTGCCTCACAATCACGTTTAAATACTCTAAACTGAATTCTTAGGGGAGGAATAAAATAAACATATGTACTTGTGTTACTTACTTTTTATTTGCTTCTTAATTGGTTTAGAATGGTCCAGCCAGTGCTAAAAAAAGAAAGCCTGTGTTTAAAAGTAATTCATTTTCAAAATTTTACTGGTATTTTACTGTCTAATGAGAGCACAAGTTCATTTAAAATAAGGGGTCCCAGCTCTGAAAAGCAAAGGCCCTCCATATATATTTGGTTTTTTTTTATAGTTTTCACTGAGAAATATGTATTTGCAAACACACACAGAGCTCAGGCACCTATCTTATCAGTGCAAACTGGACTTTAAAAGTTAACACACACCCATGGAAGCTTCCTCCTTCTGAGGCACAACCTGTCTAGCAGTGAAAGGCTGTAAAAACAAACATACAATTCTAGTGGCGTATAGGCTATAAAGGTTTTCATCACACTCTGGGCCAAATACTTTAATTGTTGCTCATGACCCTCTGAATGCAACAGCTTGTCTGGTCCAATCCCATTCAGTGGAGTGTCTACAATACACGGCTCCCTCCACTTCTCTGTCTTCCTCTATCCACACTCTTCTTGCAAGCTCAGAGTTTAAGGCTTGATCCACCCTTAAAACTTTTGCTGGCAGAGCAATGTCAGTTAGGAGTGTGATGTCTTTTTAAACAACATTTTATATCAGGAGAAGCCCTTATGGAGATGGAGGTATATACTGGTCACCTCCCCCTTCCCCCTCACACACACACCTTTTGGTGGTATAGCTTATTTTGATCATAGAATCAGTATATGCTGTATCACAAAAGCACTCAAACCAATATAAACTCTGGCTACATTAGGATAGTCTGCTTTACTAGAAAACCTTTTCCAGTGCAGATTAGTCCTAAGTTTATACTGTGCCTGTACAGTGCTCAGCATGAATCACTCCTGAATGAGGCATAATATTAAGCAAAAACAGAATCAAAATAAATACTTGGTATTCAACACATTCTCTTCCATTTTTGTAAATACATGTGAAATTAATAAAACTGCAAAACCAACATTTTACTGTGGATGCTTTAATTGAAAGCAAAATTTAAGAAACAGCCAGTTGTAAATACTGCATTTTAGAAGTCTGCCAACTCACATTCCAAATAGCAAATAAATTCCCTACAGATTAAAAGAGAAACAGAATTATTCTGAATGTGCTTTTACTTCCCTAGTGTTTGCCTAGGCTCCCTTGGGAGAAGTTGTCAATGAAGTCAACTCCTTACAAAATTTAAGAATCACCACCGTAATGGAAATAAAATGTTATGATACTTTGTATACAAATATATTAGGGTATGTCTACACTACCCCGCTAGTTCGAACTAGGGGGGTAATGTAGGCATACCGCACTTGCAAATGAAGCCCGGGACTAGGTAGTTCGAACTAGGCTTCCTAGTTCGAACTACCGTTACTCCTCGTGGAATGAGGAGTAACGGTAGTTCGTGCCGCGTGTAGCCGTGCTGCACGGGGTTCGAACCAGCGGGGTTTTAAAAATGGCGGCTCCCCGCTTATGCAAATGGAAGCCCGGGAAATTCAAATCCCGGGCTTCATTTGCAAGTGCGGTATGCCTACATTACCCTCCTAGTTCGATCTAGGAGCGTAGTGTAGACATACCCTTACATAGCTGTAAATTAATATACACAAATCAATTATTTAACTCTGATTCAGCAACTCTAGATTCTCAAGAAACCAGATAGAGCTATACACGGGAATTATTTCAAATTTCTGAGAAGAAACAAAATTATTCAAGCTTTGCTCTTTTACTGAAATTATAACTTTGAGGGATTTTTTTAGCCTCTGGAGAAGAGGAGCATTTTACTTCAATGAATGCGCTAGTCAGCAAAATATATCCTCAGCTATATTTGTGAGAGCATTATCCACATTTATCAGTATTCTCAATTCAAGTTAAATATTTACACACAATTCCATTTTAAAGAATTTCTAATATTCAGTTCTATGACTGTTCGATGACTGCAGTTCATCTGGACTTAAAGTGCATATTGAAGCATTTCCAAAAAAACTAAGATGACAATTGAGTGTTATAACAAAAACTAACCATCTTTTCAACATTCAAATGTGCTGAGAAAAGTGCAGAACTTTTTCCCAAATTATCTTCCTTGTGTGTATTGTGAGTGATAAACATGTTTTAGCAGTATTATTATGCTAAACATCCATAACACTACAAATTTTACAAAGAAATGTTTAAGAATCTAACAAGTATCGAAACAGGCCATTATATGAGACTCTAGAGGCCTAAACAGCTAATGTACATTTATAACCATTCATTCCTTCTACATATATAACACCGTAAAAAAATGTAAGATTCTCCAAGGGATAACAAACAACAAACTTTAGGCATCGTTTTACACTTACTCCTTGGAAAAGCAAACTCAGCTGCATGAAAGGCCCAGTACATCATTATTCAGTGCTGACCAAAATAGGGGGCAATTATAGCCCTTATAGAGTCACAAACTGCTATCAACTTAAACCCATTGTTTTGGACAGTTTCTGCAAAAATTGGGCTAAAGTTAGTCATAATCAGTGTCTGGATGTTTCTCCATAGTGATGTTAGTCTTCATACAGGCCTTTGAGCCCAAGTAATTGCCTCTTCCACCCTATTCCTTCCTAGCATCTGCCGTTGTCTGGATAGCTCAGGTGGCCTGGAGCACTTAAAGTGTGTCAAAACCAAAACAAACAAAAATGAACCTTTGCTGCCATAAATGCTGGGAGCACGCCAGCTTTGAGGTCAGAGATTCATATTCCCATGGAATGAAGCCCTAGTTGCTAAGCAAAAAATCAGAAGCACTTATTACTGACATACGAGAGAAATGCCTTATAAGTGGAAGTGAAGATTTTATGGCACCCTTGTTGAGAACCAAAAATTACTAGGCCGTGTTACAAGCTATTGTCTGGAACTCATCATCACTATTCCAGGCTAAAAACAAACACAAAGGGGAAAATTCCAGATGTCTTATTCTATAGCTGCCTGGAGTTGGAAGACTCCACAAGACCTTTTATTGATAACTTCTGCCTCGCCTGAAAAGCTGAGCTCAGGATAAAGAACTTTAAGTTGTGAGAGTCCAAATACATCAAGAAGCAATTGCTTAGAAGGGGTCCTTTGAGGATCATACAAGCCTAGAAAATAGGTAGTGCTCTTTTCCTATCACACTACATTCCTCTACTCCACTTTCGACCATAGGCAAGTTATCAGTGCCCTTGGAAGGTAAGGAAAATTAATCACAATTAAGTTTGGAAATGTATTTTTCTATAGGAAGTTTTAACACAATTTTAATATTTTTATATGGAGAATGTTGAAAGCAAAGAAAAATGGTCACCTGTAGGAATGTAAAAGGTTAACTGGCTAACTGGCACACCTCACCTGTGAGGCTTACTGGTTCTGGTTAACCAGTAAGCGCTGAAGTATTTCATTTTTAGCAATTACATGGTTATCTTTTTACTTGGATTTTTACATCCCTAGTCCCTTGCAGTTTGACAGTTATTTGAGACATCATCACTATTTTGATATTTTTTATTAATCTCCATCAAGGTAAGTTGTGTGTAACATGGTAATTTTAGCCCGCTGGACACACTCCCCCCACAAAGGAATATAGCTGGCAGGACACAACCCCCCCGTTTCTACTCTCAGCTGTAGCTTGACTAGTTACTGTTAAGCAAATGCGGTTTAGACAGTTCCTATTAGCTGAGCAAATGTGATTTAAATAGGTCCTGTTATGTTGAAAAGTCCCTTCAATGTTAAATATTTGTTAAAACCATACTGCCTTAATAGGATTAACTGTATCCATGCTTATGAATATGTAACTTGTCAATGTACGCATGAGAAAGCATGAGTGAGAAACCCATTATAAAGCAGCACAGCATGTATTACCTTTTATGGCTAAGGAAAACTCCTGGAAAAGTGCATAAACTGGTGTGACAGGTGGCCAGAGGGGGTTCTTTCCCTTGGAAAAGATGTAACAGCAGCCAAGCTTGGGACTGGACCAGAAGCAGTAGAGCCCTCCTGTGGATCCACAGAGATTCTGGGAACTCTCCATCACCTCATGGACGATCACTGGGGAACCTGTGGCCTGGCCAGTCTTAGTCACCTGTGAAATCAAAACTAACTCTTGCTGCCTGCAGCCTGCCTCTAAACTGCCAGCATGAATGTTATGTGTGTGAATACTGCAGTATTATTAAGAATCTGTACTAATAAACAAGCCTCACTACTGCTCCAGTTCACCCTTTGTCAGGGTTTATTCCTTGGCTGATTTCAAGGGCAGGTAACAGTAGTAACGTTGGTAGTCCTGTTTCATCACTGCATTGCAATAGTGTAAAACTGTAAAAACTTAATGGATATCACCAACTGAAACTGCTTCCAATAGAAATACTCTTGGTTTTTATACCAGTGTAACCATGGTAAATAAGGCCCAGGGCTTTTAGTTTTGAAGGGCCTGGCTGGAATTAGTAGCAATATTCTTTCCAAGGTCAATGAAGACACTATATTGTTTTTATACCAGATCATTTTCATTTGAGAGAAAACTCACTAGATTTTGTAGGAAGGTAAAATGTATTGTTACAGAATATAAGATTTATCCCAAACGATTTCTATTTTTGTCCTCTTTGTTTAAAAAAAACTGGTGCAAAGATGAATTAAGACAATTTCCAATTATTTCCCTGTTTATTTAATCATTACCTCCCTAAAGAAAAGTACGAGTAATTCTTCAATAATGGCAACAGCCAATATTTTCCCAAAATAGAACGGCCATATAAGATAAGATATGCATTTATGTCAAGATACAGCTGATAAACTGTATCCACAGGAACACTCGGAGGATGACGGCAACTCCCAACTGAAGACTAAAAGTTGGTAGAACTGCAGTAGCATGCCTCTTTAGCAACACAGGCTGACAAATACACAACACACCTGTGCTTTGAAAATTCCACTGGCTCCCAATTTGCTTCATAAAAGAATTCAAAGTCCTGGTCTTGATCTACAAAGCCCTCAAAGAAGACCTGCAAAGGAAAAAAATTGGGTTTGACCCTTTTTTATTTGCTTGTTTTACTGTTATGCATAAA